CTTGCACCGTAAATGCATACTAATAGCTTCTACAGAATGGATCAAATAAATTCATTGAAAATGCTCATCCTGCTTTTGGATTAAGCCATCCATAATGAGATGATGTACATAGAAAATATTTGTGTGTTTTTTTTCATCTTGATTTCACTGAAAGTTAAATTGCACAGTAACCTGGAAACAGATAGAAAGCTCAAGAATGTAATGATTAACAGACCAATGTCTACTGTACCTGAATTTTGGGTCTCAAGCCTTTCCACTTGATTGTCATTTTCAAAGCTTTCTTCACTTTCCAGAGCTGTGATTAGCAAAACCAAAATGTGCACATAAGGAATTACCCATAGAAATGTTTTATTCAGGATTCAGACACTCAGAATCATGACCTCAGAGTATCTACTTTAAGCACCCATTGCATAAAGCAGCAACAGCCTGATTGCAGCACACTGCCTGCATCTCTGTACAAACTAAATGCCATGACACCAGCCAAGTACAACATTGCACATTAGCACAAGAAAGGGTACTATTTAGGACATCACTGTTCATAGTTTTTACAAGACCTTAATCTGTTCTATACAATAATTTGAAATGTAAGGATTACTTTATGACTTTGCATTCAAGAATTTAATCACTAACTAAAAATTCTGAACTGTTTTGTTTCCACAGGCATGATCTGCAACCAAAAATTCCACATGGGAGTTCTGAACTTGTTTTTAAATACTAAGAATCAATTTGATCCAATCTCCCCTTCCTGTTACTGTTGACTTTGTGGTTTACTACATACAAAGCAGGCTTCTAGGCAATATTTGAAACTCATTGACTTGACAGGATCTGCTGCAATAAATAAACAGAGCTTGCAGGCTCCTCCTTTTCCTCCTTGCCCAAGCAACTCAGTCACAGCCAGGGAGAAAGCTCTAGCTAGACTTACAGCACTGTCTGATGGCACACGGCCTCACCTCCGACACACGTTTCCGTGAAGGCTTGTTGACATGGTTATACATGCCTGATCAGGAGTGATGCCCATCAGATGATCTGATAGGAAGGAATGTCAGCATAGCTCTATGTTTGGCTTACACAGTACAAGCTGGTCCATATCCCAGGAAAACGCGGTGCTTCCAGTTATTTATTTGATAGAGGGACACAATCTCCTCTACCACCACCAGTTGAACAACACTACTAAGACAGCATACTACAGCAGTTATTTTTCCAGGAACTAGTTTAGCATTCTTTTTCTACAATAAACTATGGGTGCTGCTGCAAATACTGGTATATGGTTCTAGAGCTTTAAGAACTCACCTCAATCACTGCACCAATGCCTGCTGGGATCAGTACCAATAAACTTGTTTGTTCATCCAAAAGGAAAAGAAATATCACCACAGTACTGAAGCACCGCCAAAGCACTAGACAGGAAAAACAAAAGGGTTATTAATATTTAAATAAAGAGCTGAAATGACAGAAGGCTGTTGACCTATTTACTATAATTCTGTCTTATGCAGTTTAAGCATCAACTTCTCCTATGTACATCTTGTTCTATCAAGTAGTCCTAGAAACAGCTAGTGCTCTATATACCGCCAGGCAAATAAAGCACAAAAACACTATGAAATCCTTATCACAAAAGATAAAAGGAAATCAAAGTATCTAAGGAAGAATTCTGTACTGCAGCAATTCAACAATGTATCAGTACTATTATAAACTATGTTCATGATTCTTATCTTGAGGAGGCTGAAAGGCTGTGAGGTAATGTCAGACTTTGAAACTCATGCAACTAGTTTAATATTTGTGTATGTTAAGAAGTATATTTTAGGCTTATTTTTCAGGTTTTGGATGCCTGTAAGTGTCTACCAACTAATTCTTAGATTCAAATACCCATAGCCCTAAGCAGGGACCAAAAGAGAGGAGCTACAACACGCTCAGACATTAACAATTACACTGTACCGTTCAAGAGCAATTGTCTGTTGCACTTCTCCCTCAGAGCAGGAAGGAGATACAGGCAGAAAGGTGAGTAAGGCTTGCTGAAGAGAGGATGGAACTATCAACTAGAGGAGACTGAATGAACATTGATACTTTGATAGTAAGGTTAAAAAGCCCTTTGTCACTCAGTCTTTCCAAGCTGAGTTTAGTCACTTTTTAAACTGGCAATTAACACTTAATGCTGAAATTGCATGGACCATTTTGAATTTTTACTAACTTTTTGGCCTCCACATGTCATCAGCAGTAGAAATGCCTTACAAAAACAAATGCACTCTGATAAAGATCACAAATTGTCCACATAGGAAATATATGTTGCTGTTCATTGCAATTATAATGCCTGATTTTCTCCTGGTATTTATAATCCTCACATGTTTTAATCAATCTCTAAATTATGACAGAATTAGGGATAGTCTCAGAGGTCAAGTGACTCCAGGTTTATAATTTTGGTTTATAATCAGAATGCAATAATCTATTAGAAAAACAAGCCGTAAGTATTAGCACAATAACAAGGCTGGGGAGTGGTGTATTAAACCTCAATCATTCAGGGCTCGCTGCTGCCCTCACCTGTCTCTAGGAAGGTGTTTCCCCTCCCCACCCCTAAATTCTTTAGTTATCTACAAGAACACTTGGGACTCGCAGGACAGCATTGCTCATGACAGCACATTCTCTCCACCCCTCGGATTTTTACTGGTGCTCATTCTTAAAGTATTTTTCGCTTCCTTCAGCAAGGGAAATACGATAATTGACTTAATATTAAACTAATTCTCAATTGCAGGACAGTCAAACCTCAGAAGTAACCCGAGTGCATAAAAGTAAGTGATACCAGAGCACAATGCTAAGTGTGAATGAAGTTAGAACCAGCCTGCTAGCTGTCTTCTTTTAATACAGAAAACCATTTTATTTTGCCATCTCTGTGAAACTACAAAATGTCAAGTAGTAAGATTAAAAACACACAGTAGACAGCACACACCCAACACTTCACCTTCTGGCCCATACCTGCTTTTGTAGACATCCCAATCATGCTCTTCTTTTTCTTCCAAAAACTTATGTCATTTTTGAATGCAAGGAAATCAAAGAGAAGCTGCAAATAGCAAGAAATTAACTCATTTTTTTTGAAATGTGCACTAATTAAGTCTGCCAGCTGAACTGTTACAATGCATTTAAGATGGAATTAAAAACCTGTTATAGAAACTTCAGAAATAAAAACTGTTAAAAAAAAAGAAGTTAAAAACTCTTTTAGAAGCCCAAGCTCCAAAAGCAGTGCAAAATGACAGGATAAATTCTCAGTTCTACTACTACTGTAATGCTGCACAATGCAATGTCTAATAAAGGAAGTTAGCAAGTCAGGTTTCCTCTCTATTACATCACCAAAAAATTGACCTAAAGTTCAGGGAAGATTTAGAATTAAATTTACTTGTTGCATTTTTTTCAGTATTTGAATTCAGTACATTTTTCAGTATTTTCTTTAAGCATTCATCATCTTAAAAAAAGCAGCACAGATTCAATAAATCCTTGGGTCAGATAATTTGAATGAAAAAGTGTATTTTTGTTAATTTGGGCACATGATGCATAAAAGAATAAACGTTTCAGAAGAGCTAGTCCAAGTCTACAGATATCTCACAACCTGATAAAAAGAATGGAAAAAATAAATTAATATGGCTGGGATGCTTAAGGCTTTTGAACTAAATGAATTGTATGTAATGTAAATATAAAGAAACATAGCACGCCCAGCAAGTTCCTAATTCTCCCATAGCAAAATAACTGTATTGATAATAACTGCGGATGGCAAAAATGTTCACAGTAGAACAATGAAGTCTAAAAAACCTGTTAATTAAAACAAAGATTCATATTTGAACCAAGATACAAACAATGCTAAGAGAGATGGAAAAACAAGTAACAATTTTTGAAGCAATTTTGATCAGCTGATCTAAAGTCATCCAGAGATTACAAACCAGAGGGTCAAACCCTACTCTTGGTGCCCCATCTATGATACTGCAGTGGTAAACCTTTTGACAACTCAACAAAGTCTGAAACAATATTGACAGGCATATTAATTCTAGGGGTTTTGGTTCTACTGCAACTAAAAAAAAAAAATGTGATAATGAAGTTAAATGGTTTTATCCTTCAGTCAAAACTGTTAGCTTATATCTTACTATCTTGAATTTCTGTCTTATTTGAGACTTTTATATTAACTCTGTATTGGAAATACAGCACTTGTACCAGAAAACACTGGCATTACTCTACTGAAATTCCTATATCCAAGAACAGTTCTTAATAAATAAAGAGCTGAAATTCAGGCCCCCCCCCCTTTTTTTTTTTAAATTTCATGTATTCTGATTCCTAAAACCCAAGATTTCTCCACTTACATGGAATGCTGCCACAAAGAATGTCAAAGCCAGGAAGTACAGATTAGTATCAACAAAAATTCCTTTTACTTCATCTGCATCCTTTTCGGAAAACCCTACAAAAAAGAACAAGAAATTATGCAAGAAGTACCAGACAGTTAATTGCTGTTATCCTATAGTCCTGTAGGAAAGGAATCTTATGACACTTGAACATGTTTTGTTAAGGAATCATACTTCCAAAATATGATGGCAGCTTTAATGGTAAAACCCAAGTCTACCTATATTTTGGTGAGTTATTTGGCTTGCCTTAAACAAAATCCATCAGCTACAGACCGACTTAAGTGCCTTTAAGGTGTTGTGCAACTACAACCTAAGCTGAACACCAGTGACACAAAGGGCAAGACATGGGAAGTCATCCTGGCCTGTGTGGTGAGAAAAAGGATCATTAAACTTGGCTTCTAAAGTTCAATTTGATACAAAAGAAAAGTGAGCTTCAACTTAAAAACTGGAAAATGATAAGTGGACTACACTGTAGAGGACAACAAAGGTCAGTGAAAAACATGGCAGGTATGCTCCAGTACAGACCCCAGACCATGGATTAGGCATCAACTCTTTTGATGGTCTTTGCAGAATTAACTTGGAAGCTTCTCTTCAATAAATGGAAAAAGGCAAAGCACCTTCCAGAAAGCACAATCTTTAAGCTGAATACATATGCTCTACTGTTGTATCAAATCTCCTAAAGCACTGTTGCTACCTTGTTATATACTGGACAACCATTTATTAAAAAGAAAAAAAAAAAAGTCAGAGCCTGTCCATGATAAATATGGTTGCCAGCATCAAGGAGTGTGATTCCAGAAGACACAGCATCCCTTTGAACTCCTTCTGCCAGTGTTAAGATGCTTTCTTCATGAAGTTGAAAGTTCCAGCCACTGTGAGTGAAGGCTGCTGTTCTCAGACAATAAATAATGCTGCATTGGTGGCAATTTTGCTGGTTATGACACTGCTGAGTTCAGTACCCATTTACTTCAGCAGATCAGCTGTCCTGCACTACAGCAAGAAGACTGCAAGTTTGAAATAATTTTCAAGTTAACCTGGAACTTTGCTATTAATATAAGTTCACCTTCTCATACATTATTCAAAAAGGATAATTTTAAACCTTACATTTCACTATCTGTATACTTATAGAGAGTAAGAAGCCTCTTAGGTAAGCATTTCTTCCAGACAGACGAGAAACTCCTAGGATGACAAGTCTAGATATAACTGTCCATCACAAGACAGTCAGGAGCAGGAACACAAGACTTTCAGTTATGCCATTCTGAGGAGGTTCACAGAAAAGTATGGAGCAATGACAGTGGTCAAATGTCCCACATGAGCTCTTGAGCAGGCAGCTACTTGATTCTTTCAAGAGTTATTTTAAGCAGACATACCTGCAGCTTCAATATACATTAACCTAAGCTAAGAAGCAGCAGCTGGATTCTACCTTATTCCTTATCCACCTCTCCTCCTTCAACAACACATAAGAAAAACAAAAGCTGCCAATGAAATGGAGAAAGTCTAGACTCAGTTTCATTACACTCTATACAGGTACTGTGTCTTACAATACAACACTGAAACTAGTGTTGAACCAGAGCAGACTGTAAATTTTTTTTAGAGGAATCAATGCCCTAATTGTTAAGTTGTTAATTCATACTAATTCAGAGATGAAAGTGAATAAGCAACCCCTCTTCTTTGTGCTCAATTCATCACCCTTGCATGTATCTTATGGGAAACCAGTAGAATGCTGCATCTATCTGCATTAAAAAAACCAAACCACTAGGAAGGGCTTAAGAACACTTAAAATAATACCGCATAAAAGCTTTTTAGGTCTCTTGGCCTAAAAAATATTCAAATTGCTGAAGACCTTAAAAGAGAGGATCTGAAAGAATCGTATACTCATATACATCAACACACATTCAGTTACAATGTAGTTCCTTTCTTTAGCATAAAGAAGCCCACCATGAGAAAACTAAGTCAGCAAGGACAACCCAGAAAGTGAGATATGGAATTTTTTAAGAGCGGTGATTAGACTCAAAAAGGCCTACATCAGTGAAACAGATACTTAAAGACAGCAGAAGCTTGGCTATATCGTCACCAACACAGCATACAAACTTCAGAGTCAAGGTGTACAGTGACTCTGTTGCAGTTAAGTGAAACACAGAATTTAATAGTTTCCTACATGTAAAGTCTCAAGTTCATCTGAATTACCTTATAAATTCGTTAGTGAGCCAAAGTGAGAGGCCAGCCAGTTCTGAAGTGTGAGAAGCAGTATGACCAGAACCCAGAATCCTTTCTCATGTTCAGTTTGAGCATGAAGTCTTAGCTGTGCCTAATTCTATTTCACCATAGGCATATGGCTAGTGACCAGCTGTAAATAGTTGATATCAAAGCTTACATAACACTGATCCAGCTTTTCCGTTCAAGGATGACAAGGGAAGTGTGGTAAAAATTCTCTCCTCTAGTTTGGCCTTTTATGTTTTCACCGTAGGACTATCCAAATAAAATTGCAAACAAATTAGTATTTTTAAAATGGTTAATTCAACTCTACTTGTTTCCTACCACATGTCAACATTTAATTTCCATTCTCACCTTCATAGCATTTAACTTTTTCACCAGCTAACTAGAAAGCAGAGAGAATGGAGTGTCACCTGTGTACTTAGAAGAAAAAAAAAAAAAGGTTTTTTTTTGTTTTGGTTTTTTTTTTACCTAAAGTCATTAAAGTTAAAAAACATACCAAACTGTTGGAGGGAGTACACAGCATCTTGCATGTGGATCCAAAATCGGAGTTTTCCAAGAGATATTTTGTCATATGACACTGTAAGAGGTAGCTCTGTTGTTGAACGATTTATAACCTGTTATTTGAAAAAGATAGTTTCACCTTTAAGAGCAGAAAAATTGCAACCATTACTTCAATTTATTTATTTTTATAAAGGGAAATAATTAAATCACATTATGATGTACCGACACAATTTTAGGAGGTCAGCTTATTTTTGGAAAGGGATTAAGATGTCAGATTTCTAGACTATGCTTGAAATCTTTGGGGTTTTTTCCTCAAAAAATTATAAACTAGCCATTTGTTCTGTTTACATTCTTATAGAAACCTCACTGTTGCTGTATAGAAATGCCTTGGAGATACTTATACAAAGTCCAGAGGGCCTGGTCTCAGAACAAGTGGGGAAAGTGTCCTTAAGGTAATTCTCTCTCTCAACAGTTCTACACTGAACGTAATTTTGCTAAAATTACCCAAGCTAGAAGAAAAAAGAAAAAAATCACATTACTGAAGGCCACAGTCAGAACTTGCCTAAATTGAGGCTGGTTTTGAGAAACTACAGTTATAATGACTCATACCAGAGCAAAATATGGGGAGGCCAGATGATGCTACTTGATCAGACTGATGAAACCACCACAGTTAAGCTAAGGAAGTTACTTTGCCTGAAAACTTTGGGATATAGAGTGTCACACAAATCTTCCTGCTACAACAAAAATAAATTTCAGCCAATCCTGCAGTATCACCAATACTCTAGTTATGACAAAAAAACCCCAACAACCTGAGGGCCCTTTAAGCTGGGGAAAAAAAAAAAATTTCCTAAATTGCCCCAGCTTTTTTTGCATGGTAGGGGATTTCTCCAAACTGATTTTAAAAAACGGGGAAAAAAACCTGACAGCCACCTAGGTTCAAGTTCAGGCAGTATGTTTTAAACCTGGAAGGACAGCTTTAGACTATAGACAGGCAGGCACTCTGAAATGCGACAGTTCAAGATCTATTGCTCTTGGCTCCTAATTACTAGCCAATCAATTCCCATCTGTGAACTTCACTGCTACTACTGCTCTTCACTGTAGCTGTTTCTACAGCAATTAGCTGACACCTGAGATGAATGGGGTTCTTCCAATCATTATGTTACAGAACATGGGTTTCACCCTCCCTATATATCAGTCAGGTGTGAACTGGTGATTATGTTCACTCTCCCTTCCACTCCTCCAGTGAATACAAATACATCTCAATCTCATCACTCTCCCAAGACCTTTAAGTTTTTCAGACCATGGCAAACATGCATGCATGCAAGGGACAGAAAGGAAAGCTGATAAAGTTCTAGAAATACAGCAGGAAGAAAGCCTGAGGAACTAGAATGGTGTCAGATATCTCTGAACTGTATGGAAAAAGGGAAAAAAACCAAGAGGGTGAAACCAAAGTGGTTAGAGCTGATGGTAGAGAATGCTGTAGAGATTCCACAGTTGTTTATCAAATGCTATATAAACATTTTCCATGCTTCTTTTTAAAAGGATGCCTATATTCTCATTCTAGTTTTTCAGTCTATCAAGGATAGCATCACCCTTTCTGGGAGAAGAGGAAAAGAAATTTTATCTGCACAGGACAGATAAGAAAAATTTTGCACATGCACAGGTAAGTAACACAAAGGAAGCGCACTCCATGCAGATGCAAAGCACTACTAAGGAGTCAGGAGCAGCGTAGGGAGAAAAATCAGATTGCAACACAAGACAGAGACAGGAACTCCTCAATGCGAAAAGCAAAGGAAATGAACATACAAAGATTATAAGGAACTCCTTCTCAATGAACAATTAGAAGTCCACAAGTGTTGCCTCACAACCTAGTTGAGTGTGATGGTTGATGGCCTCTGAAAACTGGGAAGTTACCACACCTCTGCAATACAACTTACTCTTGTAGTACAGCCTCAGAACATCACATATTACTTCTAGCACTCTGCTGTATCAGTACCAGAAAACAGTGTGTGAATAAAGCAGGTAAGTTAAGTGATAGGAACATCATGTGTTTTCTTTCTTAAATCAGAATCCTGTACAGTCCCCAAACTCTCAGCATCAGCAAGAACACTTAAGAACATGAGGAACACACAACCTCTAGAGTACCATACTTACCACAGAAGACCTACTAGTGGGTGAAAACAGCAGTCAGTTTGAATCTACAGCCTAGCACAAGTGGAGAAAACGCATCTTCAACTCCATGACTTCAGGTCAGACATACCAGACAGTGTCTATGCTCCTACTTAGTCAAATGCCACCCTCGTTCCACAAAAGCTGTATCACCTTCTTCCCCTACTCTTTCCTGCCCCTCCATCTACCCCTCATTACCTGACAGTACACATGCTATTAGGCTGCTCTTTCTGCAGGGCTTGTGAGCAGTTTGGCAAAATCACTACTGAGAAGTCAAAGAAGCCAGTGCTGAAAGGAGACTTGGCTAGTTTTGATGGAACAGTCTTCGCAGCACTTCTCAGTATCTTTAATGACTTTAAGGCAGTGAGTTACAATAGCATTAACTGTGACATGCATGACAACTGCAGGAATATTATTAATCACATGAGAATGCTGAGTTTATTTGTAAACAAGGTACATGACTTGATCAGTTAGAAGCTCATATGAACATCCTGAACTGAATGAGCTGTGGCAAGGAACTCAAAACAAAAGACAATAACCACTGATAAAGACATCACGAAAGAATATTTAAAGAAATACTGGACAAAACTATCTGCTGCCAAGATTTGTAGCAATTGCTTAGGAGTTTATTTTTCCAAACAAGCTCAGAGTGGGGGAGACACAAGTTCTTAAAGAAGACTCCCCAGTACTAAGCAACAAAATTATTTGTTTGAGCTAGAGTGAACGACTTGGAAAGACAATTTAAAAGGTCTATGGAAAGTTTACATCTACCAGGACTTCAGTCTAGAAGATGCCAAATCCAGACATACTCATTTAATAGTTTTGAGACATTCCCCAAGACTCTTGTTCTCAGAAACTCTGATTGCTAAATAACTGCTGCTAAGATGAAAAGAGTTTAAATATAAGGGAGTGCCATGAGTAATCTGTAGTAGAGAAACTGCATAATTTCCCACAATAAAAAGAGTTGGGCAAAAACAGAATACAGAAAATTCTATTTATATGTATGAAAACTTTTTTTTAACTGCAGGGGCAAGTGAACACTAGAACAGTTTGCTCATGTAGGATATGGTGTCTCCATCCTTGGATATACCCAAAACCCAACTAGAAGATGGTTCTGAGCCACCCTCTCTAAGTGACCCTACACTGAGCAGGGGCATTAGACAAGCAACCTCCAGAGATCTCATCCAACCTCATCCTTCTGTAATCCATTATTGAAGAACCCAGACCCAGCCTCTGCAGTTACCACATTAGATTAAACAATCTTTGACAGAGTTCTTTTGTGAATTTATACTTCTTCATTACAGCAAACAACCTATCACAAAATCTTAATGAAAACAACATTGAAGATTACTGTTAAAACCGTTAAATGCAATTAAAGGTTTGCTATTACTCACCATCAAATCTTTCACTCTGTTGCTTAGCTGATCAATAAATAATATTGGAAGGTAATGCACTGTCTTCCCCAACTGAACCCTAGGATGTTTAAACATGGATTTTATGACTGCAGTGATCTAAAAAGAAAACTACTTTTATTCAAATTAGCACTCAGTTATCACTTTCAGATCTACCCATGTAGCCATTTCCCACTGGCTTTTACCAGGCACATTCTCCTTTAACACACAGCAGGAAAGAAGAAACCAGTCTAGAGTCTTTCCTTGAGAGATGTCGGTATAACAAATTAGGCATGTCAGATTTCTCTTTTTAGCTTATTTTTAATTTTCTGTAGAAAGACAGAATAAGCAAGAAAAAAGAAAGAGAACTGAAATTTGTTTTGATGATGCTGAAACTGCTGCATGATCAAGGGCAGTAGAAATTAAAGAGTTTGTTGCAGAGAAACATGCTGACATTTACTACCATATATTAGTATCCTTTGTCTCAAGTATCCCTCTCCTACTGCAACAAATTCCACCATCTCCCCCACTCCTGTGCACCCCCAATGACACCTGCCAGGTGAGCAACAGCACATGCTCTAGCTAGCATGGGACTGTGAACACAATGGCTGGTACTCACACCTCAATACTACTAGAGAATACTGGAGAGAGCACACAAAGAGCCTCAATCTTCTCAGCCTTCTCAACAGAAGCACTGGTTTGGATTGCTCTATTACCTCACCAACCTGCATGAAACCACTAGAAACTTACCAGCCTTTGAGCCCTCTATAAAAATGACCACTGGGAAGTTGTTTAGCAAATTATGACCTATATGCAGTTGCTTTTTCACTATCTTAGAAAAGTATATCGAGAGACACATTCTAAAAGTTCTTTACTAGAAAAGCATCCACCTACACTGTGATGTTCTTGGTAAAAGTCTATGGAACTAGCATAATGGATCTTTTTAGAGCCTGCAAGTTGAATTTTAGTTGTTTGCAAAAGAAAAAAGTCTCTCTACTGTTTGGATATTTAACTGGAGGTTTACATTTCGACACTGTAACTACAATTAAAGATGCTGCTAGTGGAACTGCAGCAGGCTATTTCATATCCAAACTATTTCCTGTACAATGCAATGACAAAACATCACTGATGGGCATTGAAACATGACTAGAAAAAGCATCCTTATTCATCAGCCCCAGTCCAACTCCTCCATGTTACAGGCCTATCTTACTGAGTTGCTAAGGTTACCTATTCTGGCTGGGAAGGTATCCAAGAACCCCAGGGTCTCCTGATTAAGCAACTACTTCTGGATTTAAGAGGATACTTTTAGAGAAAGGCATAAACATAGAGCAGCAGAAGCCAATGCAGCACTATTTATATGGTTAACACTGGAAATAATTTAAGCAAGCTGTGAACAGAAGCTACTGCCTCCATTCAGTAGCCTAAAAACCTATCCCTACTCCTTAGTATTTTCTTGATAAAATTAGATAATGTAGGAACACACATTCTCAAAGTAAAATAATGCCAATCAGAAAGGGAGAAAAAAGATATATATTCGCAGATGAAGGGTAACTGGGTCAAGAGATCTTCAAAGGTTTTGAGCTTTAAAGGCTAGAAGTATGAATCGAGAACAAGAGGTATGAAGTCTGCTGTAGCATTTTACTCGTGACTTTGTAGTTTTGATTCGTCTTACTATGACAACTCCACACAAAAAAGTATTCTAAACTCTGAGCTGCCCAGAAACAAGATACTTCAAACAAGACTTTTTCCAGTGTATCTTATTAATCATCACTAACAAAATGCAAGCATTAAGATGATCTATTTGTGTCTCCTAAGATCTGATTTGAACATAAATACTAAAGGAGACCAGGGAGGATTTCTGAAGAAACGTGCAGTAAGTTTATAATAACAAATCCGGCAAAATTAAGTCACTGACTTACATCTTCATGTAACGGTGAACATCAGCAGGGAGGGACGACCCATCAAACACAAAGTCTTCCACCATGACATTTAAGGTTAATCTTGACCTCCAGTGAGAGACAGGTTCATCTAGAGCACTGGTCTGCTTTTCTGCTTCAATTTGCTTTAAAAAGACAACATGCATATATACTGATAAATGATACAAATTTCTAAATAGGATAATATCCAAACTCACATGAACTGTGGAATAAATAACTACATCACAGAACAGAAGCCCACTAAGAATCACTTTACCTTAATTTGACCAGACCACATATTTTGTTTCAATACAACAGAACAGACTGTAAAAGCCCACCATTATCTACCACTGAAAAACTTCTGCGCTCACTCACAACCTTGCTCATCAAGAAGGAATATTCAGCTAATTAATACTATAGGAATGCAGATAACCAGTAAGAAAATGTCACTTGAAACTAAGGACTGTAGAATATTCAGATGTTACTTCAAAATAGTCAAAAGGATGGTGTAGATGATGAACTGAACTAATTTGTGAGACTGAAAAGCCAGACCATTTGTTTTTAACTTCTGAGCTTCCAAATGCTATGCAGAGCAGAGTATGACCTGAGTTTTCATTAGATACTTATCCCCAGGGCATTCTACTTGCTTTTCTTTGGATGTAAACCACCTTTCAGTGCTGGACTCTAGCCACATTTTCAACATCATTCTGACAGGACTTAGAAACAGCACTGCTGGCTACAGCTGTATTTCAGATGCCAAAGAACAGAGTGAAATCCTCAGGCTCCACTTGTTAATGACTACTTTACCTCATAGTCAAGTATTTAATTAAATAACACTACATTTCCTTGCCCCCCATAAGTAATCACAGCATTTGTCAAAGGAGACTAGCTTCTTCTCTTAAATTTGACATCGATCATCCACCAATGTCAAAATCAAGTTCATAACACTGTTTTGCAAATGCAACTTATTATTTCACATGAATCCAATTGACTATACATAGCAGCACCATGTTGCTACAGAACAATATACCATTTCTACCAAAAGCAATGATTCCTTAAAGTAGCAATTAATGTTAATTAGGGAAGTGTTTTGATAGCAGCCAGTGGCATAGAAGGCTCCACCTCTGCTGTGCTGAGTGGTCTGCTACTAGCATACAAGCTGACAATCAAGAATAGAGGCTTCTTTTTTTTTTTTCCCTAATACCATAATGAGTGTAGAGAGGCAAGAGTGGCACACGCTAGAAGAAACTAGTTTTTTTTGCAGTTGTTAATCTATACAATGAAAAAAACCACTCACCTGTGTGGCTGATTCTCCAGTGAGCAAATTAATCTCCTCTGGTTTAGGGATCATGTATGTGGTCAGAGGGCTTACTATGTGCACCTGCTTACCGTCATGCCAAGGCAACATGCCAGCATGATGAAGAAATACATACGCATACAATGTGCCATTATTTCGGGTTTTCTTTGGTACAGAGACGTTCACTGTTCTAAAATACAAAATAAATGTTATGAGATGACATAGCACACATTGAAATATTTAGCTATTACATATAAGGATCACTGAATCACTTTTCTAAAAGTGAGCAAAAAAAGGTTGGAGACATTAAAAAAAAAGACACTTGGGTTGCCTGGCACACAACAATTAGTTCTGACTAGTATCTCCTAATGAGCTGTGGCTGAATAGGATCAGTTTATATACACCAATGTGTATCATAATATTTGCATTTCCACAGTTCTACTACTATCAAGGTAATTTAATCTTTGTCCAATTCATCCTTTATTACCTGAGGTAACCCAGGACTGCATCATCAGTTCTGTTGTTTTCCCCTGCTGATGGGTCACAGGACCAAAGATATCACAGCACTTATAGAGAATAGCCTTCTGTGCTGCATATGTATCACAGATGGTATACAAGATAGTATATACAAGCTTATAAAGAAAATCACAAAGTTTTGCCAAGCACTTTTCAGGAATAAATTATCTTCTCATCTATGGCATGCCAAACACAAAACTCTAGGTAGGAGCTTCACACCATGAAGTCACTCCCTTCGTGTTAGCCAAGAAAACATCTTACTTCTAACCTTGCATAGCCTCCTCTATTCCTGTAAAATTACTCAGGTTATTTTTCTCTGAATACTTCCAATGGCTTTGCAGACCGTGTCAGTGAAACAACTATTTTATTTTCACCTCTGTCAGAGATGAAGTTTAATATGACCTAAATGGCAGACCAACACATACTTTAATTATAGAAAACACATAAAGTGAAAGAACCTTGGAGACTCTGTGACAAGAGAGTCGAGAATAAGGAGACTATTTTAAGGGGGGAAAAAAAAAAAAAAAGTGGGGCAGAAAATCTGGAGTATGAAACAAGTAGTTCTAAGCATTTTGAGGGTGGTCAGACACAGGAATGGCTTGCCCGGGGAAGTCGTGGAAGCTTTATCCCCAGAAGTGTTCAAGGGCAGGTGGGATGGGGCCCTGAGCAACCTGATCTAGTGGGATGTGTCCCTGCCAAGGCAGAAGGTTGGAACTATATGATCTGTAAGGTCCCTTCCAACCCAAACCATTTTATGATTTTAACTGTAGACTGGCACAGAGTGTAGCGTTATACTCAGAAATTTGTTTAAAGACACACAATCTTATTCCATCTTGTCACCAACATCTTTCAGAAGATCTCAAAACCCTAAACTACCAGAAAATGAAGGCTTATTTTTATTATTAGCAGCATTGAAACAGTTGTAGAAATCATGCTGCTACAACACAAGGAAAGACTTCTATTCCAGGTATGAAGCCACAGTTATTAAGAACTGGCTACACACATTATTACAGGGAAGTCTCAAGCACTTTAACTTAGATTTTCATCACAGAAAGGATTATAAGCAAAACACAGTCTGTAAATCATTTGTCTATATGGCTGAAAATAGTATTCTGATCCAAACCAACCAATACTTAAGCTTATTGCATCCTAGGTGAACTATGTACCTGGCACAGCTACGGAAATTAATGTTTAGAGTGAAATCTAAGATAGACAACATAGAACAGCATTCAAGATTTGTAACAATTACAGAAGAAAAACAAGAATTTGGGTAATTACTAGTATAGCTTTATTTTGCAAACTTTGTTTATTGCAAATATGAGATAACTTTAAATGAAAGAAAAACTTGTCTAAAAATCTATTCCTCAGTGCCACACGGACTTAGCACACCACTTCCGTCATGAAAATATCCTAGGAACTCTTAACTAAAGAGAAAAATGCTGTTTTAACTAACAGCAGCACTTCACCCTCAATTCTAAGGCTGAAATGCAACCAATATCGTTCCTGCCTTAATGTAGCAAATACAGTTATTACCTTTTGAAAACACGTGTCAGCAGAACATATATACAGCATGCATAAACAGCTTTAACCACAAAAGAAAGAATGGAAGAACAAACAACTCTGCTCTTTCAATACAACTATAACAAACAGCCCACCTTACTTCATGCACATCCACACTCGTGACTACCAGTTAGGACACGTACTTCAGAATGAAGCAAAGGACTTACAGCTCAGACACTTACCTTTCAAATTTGGACTCAATATCAAAGTCCTCCACATTCAAAACCAGATCTGTACTGCTCTCGGCACCAATATGCGACCGTGTGGTAGTATACACGCTTAGCTGAAACAAGAACACAGCACAGAGAAACGGGAGCACAAAGATATTAAACCAAATCACCCGTGCGCACAGAGAGCAGATCTCCGCTTCAGCTTCGCCAGCCTCCCTGGTCACACGGCGGTGGGTGTGCACACTGTGAAAAAAGCCAACAACAACAAAAAAAAGCCTAGAACAGCTTCCAGCTGTCCCGTCCCGCCTTCCGGGGGCAGGAACACACCGTGACACAGCCGCTGAGCGCGTCCGAACCTCTTCGGGAAGCTGGCAGTCAGAGATTCCCAAGGGGGCCGA